CATTGTGAGGGCAATATATCCTTACCAAGTCTCTGCCTGAAAAAGATATGACATTCGTGGCCTCTGTTCTCCCTTTTTTGATGGCAGGTTGTGCACTTAATACCTCCCTTAAGTGCTCAGCCTTTTTGATCATTCCCCTGAGCTCACATACCTGCTCAGGTTCGAATAATCCATGTATTACGTTAATTACGCCTTGAGTTGGGGCGTCGACTGGCATTCCGTTTGGGTTGTTGTGGTTCTGGGAGGCTGGCTGTGTCACTCATTCTATGTACTGGTCAGGTGCCCAGCTGCCACTAACTCCTCCAAATGCTGCCTCAGCGGCGTGCAATTTTCAGTGCGGTGCCCCTTTTCATCATGGAAGGTGCACCAGGACCTCTCGTCATAGTCCTTTTGTGCTTCTCCCAACTTTGTTGGCCATCGGATGAAAGGTTCACTGCGTATTTCACTGAGAATTCGGTAGATCATTTTTTTGAACACCGTGATAATGGCAGTGCGAACTCTTAGCCACCTTTTGTCTGGGTCCTCTCTGTTGGCCCGCCTGCCTCGCCCATTCCTATTTGGTCATTCTACCTTGTTGACTTTTGCCGTAGTCTTTTTATCTAGCATTGCTGCTATGCCAGATTTTGTTTTAGCACGGGTGCCATCTTCCTCCACGCGAATATGTTGATGTACTCTCTCCATTAAGGCCTCCATCATGAGAGGGGGAGTCATAGTAATCGAATCCCTCAATTTGTTGCCAACTAGCAAGCCCCGTTTGTATTGTGCAATGGCGAGGTTCGTAGGGCAATCCCCAATTTGGTTGAAGGTTTCCCAGTAGCGACTGTTGTAGAACCTCAACGTCTCCTTTTCGCCCATGTCAATAGAGAGTAACTAGTCGATCTCCACTTGTGTTTTGGTGCTCGTCTTGAATCTAGTCACGAATGCCTTTGCCAACTGTGCCCATGAGGCGATGCTACCTTCTAGTAGCCTTTCGTACCAGGTTAAACCTAGGTCGCCCAGGCTGGATGGGAACAGGATACAAATTAAGGCCTCGTTCCGCCGGTATACTGCCATAACCTGGCGAAAGTGGCTTAGGTGCATGTAAGGGTCTGTCTTCCCTTCATAAGTAGTGAATTTGGACTGGAGAAAGTCCGAAGGTAGTGGCGCGTTCTCTATTGCCGGAACGAACGGCGAGCTCTGTAACCTTGCTAATGCTTTGTCTGTTGGTTCGTAAGCAAGGCGCGGTATTGGCATTCCTACCTCGACGCTCCCATGCGTCCGAGGGGCCAACCGCTGAAGGGCTGAAACTCTGCGTGGGTCATGTGCCCTGGTGTCCTCCTTCCATCGTGCCCTTTCTTCAAGCACAGTTCGCAAGTCAGATGACCTACGTAACTCTGTGTGCCTAGATGACGTCTGGTGCGTGTGTAAGGGCAGATAGGTGCTTCCCTCAGTATATGACCTCTCAGTTCTCGTTCTTTCAAACCTGGAGTAACGAGTCCTGGAAGTCCTTGATTGAGTGTCGCCTGTTCTAAGGTTCTTACTTTCTGCTTGCGATGGTGTGGTACGCCTATCATGATCTTCCGAGTGGCGAGGGGGCGTGTTGCCTTTGCGCCCCTCTCCTGTCGCCACTCATTTTCCTTTTATCTGGTGCTTCATCAACTCCATATCTGCCGTCATCCTCCTTATTAATTCGTCCTACTCCTTCACGCGATCCTCAAGAACTTGAGGGTCCATCCTTCGCCTCTGTCTTTCAGGACTTTGAGAGCGACGGGGGCTGTTAGCCCGCCTCCCCCTTGCATCCCTCCAGGGGTTCTGTCGCTGGGGTTCCAAATCCGCCATGGGAGGGACAAAAGGCAAACCTTCACGCCTCCCACCCTCCTCTGACGTTTGCCCATCAATGGCTGATTGCGGCAAGTCTTTATTGTGCGCCATTGCTTCCAATTAGAGAGGAAAACTCGATCAAGAGGTTTTGTTCTTTCTGAAATTCCCACAGACGGCGCCAATTGTACGAGCACGAAATAATCTTCTCGTATAATCCTGTTGATCAAGTCTGCGCTCCTCCAAACGTTATCCCTTTACTCCCTGAAAACACAAACGTGAGCTAGCCGGTGGGTGTGTGTCGGATACCTCTCTGATGCCTAAGTCAGCAAAATAGGCAAATAGAAAAAAGCTCTGTGTATTTGGGAATCAAAGTTGTGTTACCTCTACATAGGTTATGTTGTGAGCTTTTATAGGTTCCGCATAGCATAATCCTAGTAGGACTCTTATTCCTCCAAGTAGAGTCCTCCTAGGAACCACACTCCTGAAAGATAATGCTTATCCTTCAACACCCCCCTCACTGCTTAAACCAAGCGAGATGGTTTTACCACGGTTGGATGATAGTATGACCGAGCTAACACTAGCCATTTGTCATACTTAATCCACTGTCTTCTCATGCAACACATAGCTCGGCTCTCTTTTCACTTGTACCTCGGTTTTGGCCTGCTGAGACCGAACTAACTATACCAAGCTTCGATCGAGCTAACAAGAGCAAGGTCTTCCGCAGGACGCCCAAATACCTCATCTCTGAATACCATGACCGAGCTAATCACCACGCCGACTGTGGTGACTGTAACCACATTTGGACCGAGCTAACTATAAGGTCCTCTTTACTCAGCCCTTTTTACCTCGGCCCATAGAATGGCCCATTACCACACCTTAGCCTAGCTCGGCCCTAATGCACATAAAAAACTCCCTCTCATGAATGTACACTTTATTGTAGCCCACTGTTGCTGCCATGATATCCTTGCCTTGAAGGTCTATTTAGTCTACTACATAATTTGTTGTACTCACTTCTTGTATTGAGAACAAATAGGAAATATTTTTATGTAGCTACAATGCATAAGAGCACTGTTTCAGTATGGTTTTTTTTTCCTCCGAGGATACATAATTGTACATTAATATTTGCACAGTTATGTTTTCTTTTATTTCTAGATCTCTAGTAAAAGTTGCATACTTCTTTGTTTTAGTATAATTTTATTCTATGAGTATGGTTCTTGATTTCCTACCATGCTTTGCATGTCCTTTTATGCTAGAATATGATTTGCGTACTCATTAGTGTTTTAGATTTTTCTTAGGTAAAATAGACGAATTCACATATTTTAAATTTCTAGATTTGTAATGTAATTTGCTTAGCACTGGTTTTGTTCCTAACCCATCTTCAGATGCAAATACCAATGCAAAGAAATGCAGATATTCTCGTTCACCTGACTTCATGTATGCCTCTTTGCGTGATCCATTTCCTTCGACCACTTCCTCTCCTAGTGATGGTGTGTCTTCACCTTCACATTCAGAAGTCTGTACTAATTCATCTATGGACTCAAACAATGAGATAGTTGTTGGGGCAAGCAGGGACGGAACTAAGATTTCATCACCGAAGAGGCAAAAAGACAAATAAAAAATTTTCACAATATATATATGCACGCATGTATGTACAATATGATATATAAATTATTTATATACACAAAAAAAATTCAAATACCATAGAAATAATTTCTAATAGGATGAAGTTTTTTTGGTGCAAAATAAAAATAGAGTGCAAGATAAGAGAAAAATAAGATATGTATTTGTTATACTGGGGGCCATTTTATGTATAAAATGAGATATGTTTTACAATGCTATGACAAATCATATTCTTCACAGAAACAGAAGGGTCATGGCCTCTCATAGTCTTCTCCTAATTCTGTCCCTGGGGCAAGTACAATGAATACCTTAACTCACGAGAATATTGTGGTTTACCCTAGTACGCAAAACATGAAATCTCTTAATGGTGCCACTGTGCCCTTAAGCGATCACAAATGGGCAGGCTATAAGATGAATGCAAGCCAGTAATATGAAGGATTGAAACTGACATCTCCTCTTTGTTTATGTTGTCTTGTTAAGAACTTATGAACTTTCAGATGGTGATTTAGACATTTACAATTTAATGTCTATTGCTTAAAGCTAGTAGTTTCAATCTTATCTTAGTTTGTTGACTAACTTTTATGTGTTGAAAGAGTAGTTTGGGTCTTTTCTTAGTTTGTGGACGAACTTTAATGTATTGAAAGTTGTAGTCAAAAACTATCACCGAATGTGCCCCTTTTTATCAATTCAGGTGAGTGAAAATGGGAAGATGTGCATGTTTTGTGGGTTTGGTGGTATGATAGGTTTTACATTGGCAATTTAAGGTTCTTGTGGTCGGAGCTTTTGTCTCCATTAGACTTGGGAAGTTACACGTCTATACTACTGCATATAGAGAGGATTAATGGTCTTTTACAGTGGCTAATATACAGCCCTCCATGACCGATAATGCCCTCGACTTGCTTGGCAATGATCAAAAAAATATATATATTTTAAATGTTAAAAATTATTTATTTATTTTTCCTTTTTCCTCTTTTAAATTAAATGATAACAAGAGGTGGTAAGGAATTTATCAATGGAAAGATGGTGAGAAATTTCTTTTTTCTCTCAAGCCCCATTTGGCTGGAAGGAATTGTGGTGTCTCTATGGCTTGCCTGACCTCTTTTCTGGAGTAAGGGTCAGCTCCTCTCCAGACACGAATGCTTCAAACCCATCCAGACTTGATTAACAGGTTTCATTGTTAAAATATTACTTCTACTCAAAAGTAGGAGAGGAAAATCATGCGACAAAAGCGGAAACGGAGAAAAATAGAAATAGGTTCTACCGACTATCTTCTCCATCAACCTCCCTCCACTATTCGTGCACCATTCCTCTTGTTTCCTCCAACACCAACCCATTCTTATTTCTCCACCCAACCACCTCTCTCTCTCTCTCTCTCTCTAAATAAAAACATATACATGTGAATTTTTTTCCCCTTCTTTATTCTGCGATAGTATGCAATAACTTTATTTACAAAAAACAATTAGAGCTTTATCATGATTTATCATGCTGTATTTTTTAGAAAATGATTTGAAAGATGTTTCTTGTGGAACATCAATTCTCTAACAACTAGCACACACTACATTAAAAATAATAAATACTAATTAAATTAACAAATAATTAACTTTTCTCCTTCATCAATTTATCTATGTACAATGTAATGTCCGATTATACCCAAATATAATACGCAAAAGTGGTCACCCTATCACTAGTGTTTAGTGTTTTGCGAAAGGCTAAAAAGCCTCTCAACAATCCAAAACAAATCAAATTGTTGACAAACTATCACAAAAAACAAATTCATTCAATTACCTCCATAGGTCAAGCACAACCCAAAATTGATTACCTAAAAAAAAATTAAACCCTAATTTGAACTACAAAATTTGTTGTCTCCAGCCAAGTACCGCAATAATCAGAATACAATTATGTATAACACTCACATGAGGACTCCTTCAATATTAGTAAATGCTTTCTTTGCAATCTTGAATTTTCTGGCAAGGGAATTTTCATTACCGACAACATACTTGTTGATGAAGAACTCTACACCATTTCGAAGGGATTCATACTCGGGACTAGCTGCTATACGAGTGAATACATTCCAAACAAGGCTATCAGGATGCTCAAAGATGGCCTCGAATAGCATCTGAAAATGCTGTATTCTTTTTGGAGTCAGCTGCGTTGTATCACTGAAATCAACGGCCTTCAAGACTGCTAGAGAGAGGGTGAAAGAGGTAACCATTTCTGCAACAAATTTTGATAGATGCATTGATCTCATCAACTGCATCGACTCCAGTCCCTTGAAGTGGTCCCATAGGCAATACTGTGAAGTAATATCAGCAGCAAAAATAAATAAAAAAAAATAGAAAAAATAAGACGAGCAAGATAATGAAAGGAAAAAGCTTTAAGGAAAAGTCGGCTGTGCCATAGGCAAACGCTTTAAGGAAAAAGCTTTAGGCAATACTGTGTCCTTTCTTAGATTTCTAATTAATTCATTTTCTTTTTCGCACAATATGAAATAAACATTTCTGAGAGAATCAATCCAAATACTAAAAGTAATACCTGTAAAGTGATCTTGTGGTTTTTATCATGGCTACATAACTTGATAGCAAGAACGGAGTAGTACTTGTTAAAGATTTGCTCCTGTAAACAACACTCCACGAGCACTCGCATGATCTCCCTATCCTGTACACAAAAAATAAGTAATGAAGATGGCAAAACAAGTAAAAATAAACCACAATCCATATAAAGATCAAGAAGACAAACAGATGATGCTTACCTGCTTCCCTTGCAAATCCAACCTTAGAAGTTTCTCAAAAGCATCAACATAGTCCTCCCCACTCATTATTACACAAAAGATTGCTCTTCTAACGTCTGTGTTCATTCTCTGTACAGCAGCAAGCTGTAGCAGTTTCTGGGCTTCGAGGGACTCCATGTCCATTGTGCTCGCAACCTCTTCAAAATTGCTAGTTGTGGATGCCATATCCCCAGACAACCACCACTGGCCTTTCTTGTCAGGATCAACGAGCCTGCTCCATTTGAGCCCTCGAATTAAAATACCTTCTACCCTCAGCTGCAAACACACAATCAAGTTAAAAAATAAAAAAAAAATAAAAAAAGATTTGACAACTCATCAGGTTCCTCAAGACACGATGCGCGTAGAAAGGAATAACACCCTTCATTGGTTAGCATTTGAATGATGGGTTTGATAAACTTAAATGAGAGACCACAATTACAGTTTGATGCTGCAAAAGCTTAGAGATGGATAATAAGGGTAAATACCAAATGAGAGTAATCAGTAATTGTAACCTTCTTATAACCTAGTTCGTTCATTCAAAGCAGATAACATTAACTTATCAATTATCATTATTAATGCTATATCCTTTGTGGCAGGTGCAAAGAATTGTGTTCCCATGTCTTCTTTCCAAATATCCTAAATAAAGATAACTTCCCTAAGATAGGGGTGTCATGTGTGACATCTGTCAAACACAGTCATAGTTACTTTCCGTAAGTGTCATGCTTCATAGCTGGTAAGCCATGCTGAAGGCTGTAAATTCAGTTTCCTACCAAACATATACCCTGAGATATGTTGCACCTCTTCAACACAGAGTGGATTAGTGGTGCAATAGAAAAGGTGTGCATGGCATTACTCTAGCCCAGTGCTAGCTTAGGGTTGCAATGCAACAGGATGGCCTTAAGCTCATGGAACAATCCCATGCAACAAATTAATTACATAAATACTGAAAAAATATCAATTTGCAAGACCTTCTGTAGCCATTTTTTTATCCGTGTATGCCGCGGAGTATCCTCTTTTGCCCTCCTTTTGTTGTTCTTGATATCAAATATGGTTTCAAGCATGAACTCCATCTGTGAGGATTATGGAGTAAGCAAGTTGCAGACAAGAAGAACAAACAATAGAAAAAATATCTCATATATTCATGCACGCATACCCTTTTGCTACTTGTATTTGCTTGGCCGTTTCCAGAAGAGGCCTTCAACTCATTTGCCCTATTCTGCACACTCAGAACAAAATCTTTCATGGCAGCAGGGTCATCACGTCTTAGATTCATCCCACAGCCTGCTTAGGCAAAAGCAATTAAAGTTAAAACATAAATTGCTGCTCTACTACACTAGCAATGGCATGTTTTGACATTACTCAATATTAATCTAATGATACTATAAGAAGTTAATGTGGGACGGACAGTTCATTCAGTTAGAAAAAGAAAAGAAAAGAAACGAAACAGCCAAGTGCGGGTAATTTGTGGTTGTAAACAAAATTAAAAGGTAAGTATTTAAAGTGCAACCAATTGAAAATTAACATCCAAATACACACAAACTCATGGAAACCACATACTTCTATTTCTTCGTTCTTTTTTCCTTTTTCCTTTTTAATAAAAGAAGTCAGAGAGAAACCAGGACCAATTATTTAAGTGGCTTACACTGTAGAATTGTCAAGATAGTAGAAGCATCTATCTCCATCAACCTCTTGCTCAGCATAATCATGAAGTCATATATCAAATCACTGAAAAAGATCAACAATGGAACTGCTTGTTCAGCATAATGGGGTTGCTATAAATATTTAAGACACAAAGCTAAATGACACAGTAACCGAAAGTAATGGTATCTTAGTGATCATTCTCAGGTAAAGACGTATAATGGCAAAGCAACTAAAAATAAATAAAAAGAAGCAAGATCAATCACGAAAATTCAGCTGATACAATTATCGTAACTTTGTGACAATCCAGCAGTTGCCATATTGCCTGATCATGCTGCGAAGTGCTGCGGTCATTTTGTTGAAAAAGGGAATAACTCAATTGCTCAAACAACCAATGCTAATCAGAAGCATGAAAATGGATTTCATTTGCAGTATTGTGGTAACGCTATCACTTTTCTGGCCACAGGGTTTGGTAATTACAGTACTCCTGAACCCCAAATTATGCAAAGTGCTAGAGTGGTATTGACAGCACAATCCAGGTTCTGCTACGCTCAGGCTTATTAGCATGCATTTGAAAATTTCAATAAGCCGTACTGCAATAACAGGCAACAAACAAAGAGATAGTCACAACGGAAAAACCCACTTTGAAAGGGAGTTCCGGGACATGCTTTTGACCAAAGTTTTTAAAAGCGAATGCGTAATGTGAGGTGTTTTACCCCTAATGGGGTGAGGCGTAAGCATTTCAAATTCTGAATTTTTATATTTAATAAATATTTTAGAACAATAAATAAATACATCAAAATTAAATATAAAGGTGTAAATACTTTTATGCTTAAGGTTCACTGCAGAGAAGGAAGCTTTGCTTTATTGAAAGTGAAATTTGTATTCTTAGCTTTAGTGATTAAGCTTCTCCCTCAGCGTTAACTTTGTTTTTTCTTGATTGGTCATTTACTTAATTTTTCTTATAGAATATAGTTGTGAAAGGGGTTCTTGTTTATTTTTTATTTTTTATGTTTAAACCATCTACTAGAGTAAGTTTAACAAGACCCTAAGATAAACTCTCCATATGCGTACTCCTCACATGCTTATACGCATAGAAGACGCACCTAATGCACGTCTCAGACTGTGGGTGCAAGCCTTTGGGGAGTAAAGCCTAGAAATCAAAGCCTTGAGGCATTTTTCCTTAGCCTCGCCTCAAGGTGAGCATCGAGGCGAGCCTTTAGCCGTTTAAAACTTCGCTTTTGACAACAAGGAAAATTTCATAATTTGCTTGTATACTATCATTTCTAGCACAGTCAAGAGGTCACAATGATAGAAGTTACTCACCTTGAGCAAACTCCAGAAATGTATAAATAAGACAGTAGAAGTGTCACATTTCGCAGAGAAAGATTGTCTTCTTCTAGGTACTCATCCTGGGGGGGAAAAAAAAATTAAGAAAAAAAAGAGGTCATTTTCAGTAATTTTCTGAAAGTTCCAGAACAAAAGGCTTGTATTCACACAATTGTGTGAGCCTTCAAAAATGGCCTACGCTATTTTATTTATTATATATATATATATATATATATATTTACATAAAAAAGTCACCAAAAAAAACCCAAAAAAAAGATGTTTCTGGAAAAAAAAAAAAAAAAGGATTAGTGAAATCCTATTCATTGCAGCTTTCTCTAGACCTCTAGGAAAGGCATGGAAAAAAAGAAAGGCATGAATCGTATGATCCCTTTGCCACCCAAGAATGAAAGGGGTGATCTCATTGTTCTTGGCATGCGAAGATGCGCTGTTAGTTTTTGTTTTTTTCATTGATGCCAAACCTAAAACTATGCCTGAGAGATAACTGTCCATACACTAATATAGGGATGCATGGATTCTCAATAAGAGATGAGCCGCGATGGTTCCCCCTGGACTGCCTGAATCTCACAATTGATTGTTGGAAAGGTAAATACTTCATGTAGCAAAATAATAGAAATCTTATTCAAAAAATGAAGCACCTCAAAACATTTAGCTAGGGAAGCCAAAAGCTTTGCACCGAAGTCAATCCCAACCAAAGAAGCCATGCCTGCAACAAAAGCGGCGAAAACAGCAGCATACCTTCACATAGAAATAAGGACAAAAATATCAATTGAGAATACAAACATATGAAGAGAATAACAAATACACTAGAAAGAAAAAGGGCATGGCTTAAAATCAAATTGTACAACACAAATGGCACGGAAATCTATCAAATTTAACAAAAAGAAAGTTATGTGCAACCTAAGGAAGAGACTATGAAGCATGGACACTCCAACATCAGTGCCGCGGTGGTGTCCGACACGTGGACACACCGGGGACACAGGGACATGCCAGGGACACGTGTGGGACACGCTAGATGGCGTGTCCCTTTAATTTAATGATTTTTTTTGTAGGGGACACGGCGGGGACATGTGTGTCCCCATCGGGACACAGCATGGGACACAGAGAGGCTATTTTTTTTTATTATTTATTTATTTATTTGTTTATTTTACCTCTCTTATTTAGTGCTTTTGTGAAGAATATTGTTGGATGTTGAATGTTGAATGTTTTTCCCTTCTCGTCTTAGTTCTAATTATCGTTTGTTATGACATCATTGTGAATGGAAGATTTATTAATTTGTTTAAATGTAGTGGTTATATTTATTGAATTAATGTTACTATCTTAATGTTTGTTAATTTTGATTTAGGATGAATGTAATATAAATCTACATAATACATAAAAATATATAAAAATAAAAAATAAAAAATAAAAAATAAAAAAAAATTGAGGTGTCCCCCGCCGTGTCCGTGTCCCCATTTTTTGGAAATTGTCGTGTTCCGTGTCCATGTCCGTGCTTCATAGGAAAGAGATGATAATAAAATGTAGCATGTATTTCAAGCATTTTAAGGGAAAGCCGCATAAAAAAGATACCCTATTTCCCAAGCCACAAGCCACGTTGCACTAGGGAAAATTGATATTTCCATTCTTACGATCATACAGAATTTGGTTCGCTTTTTAAAACACATTTACATCAATTCTATAAAAATAATTTCAACACAACAACTATGCTTTTTGGGTACTATTGGATTCCAAACCACCTTACCGCGAGAAGACATGCACTAAAAATTATTAGATGCAGTATTATACACAAATCTAAAGAAAAATTGACACAATTATCCGAATACTTAAATCTACATCAGCAGAAAGATCCTGTTTCTTTCAGAGTTGCTGGGTGGCAAGATTTGGTCATTGAGGTTCACGTTGAAATTTCTAAGATGGACAAATTCAAAAGTGAAAAGCATTTTCAGGATCCAACTAAGGATAGAGAAAAAAGATCAACACAAGATCACAGGAATCTCAAGATAGATAACCAAAACAAAAATTATTACGTAAGTTCCTTTGCCAACAGTTTAAAATAAAAAACATTTATACCCTTAAATATGTGCAAACTTTAAGAGAAAAATAATATTATTTAAACTAGTTTAAAGGCCTCATACTATCCACTAATGTTGTGTTTGGTTGAGAGATTTGGGGAGAGATTTAGAAATGGAAAGGGAAAAGGTGTGTGAAACTAGGTGAAATGTAGGTATATTTTATTCACATTTCACCAAACTTTTCCCTTTCCTTTTCCAAATCCCTCTTCAAATCTTCAAACCAAACACAGCGTAAAAGTCTTTCTAAAATTTATTGTTTCATTGGCAACAAAGAAAGTAAGCATCACAAATCTGATTTTCACACAAGCAAAATTTACCAAGGCAAACCACCTCCCCAAATAATTGGAAGTTTTCCAATTATGGCGTTGTAGAGCTAAAACAAATTAGGAAAGAAATTTCCAGTACAAGTTGGATCTGTTATGATGATGCACAGCAAATTTGTTCCCAATGCATATATACTAAATATATTTAGCATAAGAGAGTTCAAATTTATAATGTAAAGACAATAACGAATACACGGTGATTAATCTATAAATCTTCTTTAATCATCATTTAGAAAGTTCTTCTATCTTAGTCTTCAGTATGAGTTTTACTTAGATGTGAACTTTATCAAGAGAGTGCGAAAAGGGAGTACAACTTAAGGTGTAAAAAATAGAATGAACACTTAACTGTTCATTTCCACGAGGACCTCCAGAACACGATGCCAAAACTTCTTCAATAATAAGCTTAGAACCAGCATCGCGAGCAACAGACTGCAAATCGGGAAAATTAAAAGGTTGAAGTTTCAATACAGGATCAACCAATGCAGATTGATTGGTAGAGAATACTACGTCAGCAATAAACAAGACATATTCAACAAGAACATGTTAAAAATAACACAATAAATATTTGACTATGGGGCAACTGGAATTCTGCAAGCATACGCCCACTATACTATGCAAGACCGCAAAGCACCAAGTTTCATCTGGACATGTCTCAGAGTTCACAAGGCAAACGAAATAGATGACGCCAACAATCTCAGCTATGTAGGTCTTTTAAATAACCAAATAAACTCAGAAATAAGATGTATCCATGATGACTCCATTTAAAATCTATTATAAAAGTAGCTGCAATACAAATGACTCACTAAAAAGTCTAGAAGATGTATCTTGTGATGACTCCATCCTGACATTTTTTTTAAAGGTAAGGCAAGGAAAATTGAACTTGAGTCTTTTTGTTAGGAGAATGTGACCTAAAGCCACTGGGGTGTCCCCAAGGGCCTAGGGGAAATGACTCCATCCTGACATCCAACATTCACCAGATCCTTTCTTTTTTCTTAATTTTTTATTTACAACTTATAAAGGGTATTTAGTTATATTAGGACTAAACCTACCAAATTCTATGAAAAGTTAACATATATATAGACTAGGAAGTACGGATACGGAAATAGATACAAGATATGGTGATACGGATACGATGATACGCTAAAATCTAAAAAAGTAAGATACACGAGTAAAGCGGAGATACGTTTGTGAAAAAAAATTATTTTTTTATAATTTCGATAATGTAATATGCATGAAAATAAAACCTTAAGCAAATTAATAAATAAAGAGAGGGGTTCCTATTAAGCTAAGAGTCTTCAAACATTCATAAAACATCCAAAACTCAAAGCAAAAGCAAATGCAAATTAAACAACATCCTTACATGCCAACACCAAAAAAAGAATGAGAACCGAGAGAAGAAACATGAGAGTGAGAGAGCGAGAGAGACAATAAGGATACATTAATTTGACAAATTCTACTACTTTAAGGGGGACTAACATGTAGATCCTAATAGGTGGACTTATTGTCCAATAGGTCCTATAATAATTAATGGCATTTTTATCAAACACTATTAGAAATTGTCACTAACTGTAAATTTTCAACGATATTTTGAAAATTTTGACACAAAAAAGTCACTTATTTTCAACTTTCAACGTCAGTTTAAAAATTCGCCACAAAAAGATGTCAGTAATTGCAAATTTTAGATACAATTTATAAAAAGCATGACCAAAAAAAAGTCATTAATTGTCAATTTTTAGTGACATGCAAAAAATTGTCGCAAAAAATTATCTTTACTAACAATTTTATTAGGACTTATTTTGAATAGGATCTTATGAGAATTAAGTCTAACTATTAAGATCTATTGATAGTTTACCCTTACTTTTAATTCTCACTATATTCCGCTTCTCATAGAACTAAACAAAGTATTACAAGTAACATATAACTTCAAATATCCGAGACTTCAAAATTAAGTATCTGATACTCTAAAATTCAGGAAAAATTAATTAAGCAGTATCCGATACATATCTGCGAGTATCAAGGAGTATTGGTATCCCATAAGTATCCGATACAAATACATCTCCCTTTTCGAAGTATCCAAGCTTCATATAGTAGACTAACATTCAAGAGAAAAATAATAAACAACAGGTTGTGCAAAGGAAATAGGCTTACACGAAAGATAGTGGAGATTTCTCTGGTAACTGATTCTACATTCGATTCAGACATCCTATTCAGAAGTCCTGGAGCATGTTAAATTTTATTAAGAAAATGCATTGCAAATATTGCAGAATCTGATGGTAATAACATGATATGCCAAACTTCAATGCAAAACTCAATCTACATACCTCGTAACCTTCTACGAATTTGAGAGAACTCTTCTGATTCCTTTGCCACACGAGATCTCAGGTGTGGGGCTACATATTTTGTATTTCTATCCAACTGAGGTGCCTTCGCAAGAACTTTTTCGAGTGGCATCTCATCTAGACTGTCTTCAGTCTCAAAGGAATCAAGAACAGATGGAATTCCTTCAATTAACAAATTGATGTCATCATCACCACCCCGTAAATTCCCCTTTTTAACCTTGAGTTTCTTAGCAAGTTTTTTTTCCAAATACAAATCTGCCTCGGCAGATACACGATCATGTTGGGTTTTCATTTGTAGATATTCTTCAAACTTCGTTTTCTTTTTTTTCACCATCTTCACTGCAGCTGAATCAGTATTTTTTGAAGAATCCAGTTTAGTCTTAGATTTTTTCAGTTTGGTAGGCTGCTCAGTGCTTTGATCTGTCTCATAGCAAGTTTCAGCTGGCTTAGATAATCCAACCACTGTCTCCACTGCCATCTCACTACCAAGCTCTAGTTCTTGAGTGAGACGGAGAGACACAGACAGAGAGTGAGTGAGATTGAGCGAGAGAGGGACTGAGATCGAGTGACACAGACAGAAAAGTGAGAGTGAGAACGAGCAAGCAAGAGAGAGGGCGAGAGCGAGAGCGAGAGCAAGAGCGAGAGCGAGCGATACAGACGACTGAGCTAGGGTTTGTTTGTTTTATTTTTTATTTTTTATTTTTATTTTAGATTACTTTTGTTAATTTACATTTTGACCCCATTACAAGTTTTTAAAATTATTTTTTTATCTTGCCGTGTCCCAAAAGTATCCCAAACGCATCCTTGAAGTATCCTTATGTATCCCCAAACGTATCCGAATTCAAAAAATTAAAATAAAAAAAAAAAGGATAATTCTCTATCGTATCTAATACATATCCCGTCATATCGAACGCGTATTCATGTCCAATATGTATCTAATATGCATACAAAGGCTATTTCGGAGTATCTATGCTTTTTGGCATCAATATGTTATCTGAAGGAATTCCATCTGTGATTGATTTCTTTGAGGAAGAACCAAATCCACTACCTGAAGAAATTTTGAAGAATAGATCTAAGAACAGTTCTGTATCTAAGAAGCCCTCAAGTCAATACATACACCAACATTTTACACCACGCACATAAGGACCGATAAGGTCAAAACAACTATGATAGAACGCACCAATCACTCTACACAATGTTACTATTTCACTCGGAGTTTCATTATCCAAACCAAACAACAAACACCACACCAAAGTGACACAGAACTATTGAACATTTGACCACTCTTAACAACACATTAAATACATTATTGCTACACCAAGGCAACCTCCTAGGATAGTCTCATGACCAATTCCTTCGATACATCATCGAACAACCCCCAACCATGCACCAGTACACACTATGCAAGCAAAACCCATTACTTGCTTAACCCCAAATGAGTTATCTCAACACTAATGCCCTCACTTTGTCCATGTATTCACAATCCCGACTAAGTTCACAACAATGAGTTTCACATATTTATTCTCTCGTACCAAACTAACTTTCAAAAGCCTACCACGCTACAACGCCACCGACACTACGTAACAACCCAAACCAAACAACAAGCAAATGCAATGCCTTCATCCATCAATGACTAATAAGTAAACTCTTTAATCTACATTCTATATCATCACTCAGTATATGAGTACAACCAAAACACTAAGTCCTCTGGTCAAACTACCAGTTGCTAATACGTACTGAATAATTACCCTGGACCAAACCCCAACACATATACACAACGCTTACAAGGCCTTCAAAGTCATACTATCCTAACTTCACATATGAACAAAAGAAGTTCTCAACCTCCTTCCACCCAAGTCACAACTTTACATTTCCTACTACTCTCTCAACCAACCTATAATACTATTTGAGCCAAAATAGGGCCCACATCTGAAAACAATCACCTCCTCACCGTCATTCCGAACCTTGACCAATAAACACAACACTCCTCCTGTCACTACAAGGCACAACCCTCTTACTTCCCAAGAAACTTCCACCGCAATAAATTAAAACTTATACCTCTAACATAAACCAACATTAACCAAACCGAATATATTGACTAGTACAACTTCACCCTCGCAATATTCTAACTAATCATAGCGACCCTCAAAATACTCATCACATTAAGGAAAACTCAAAATTATAACATATCCAACTTATCAAAATAAACAACCCACCATGTATATATACATAAACAAAATTCATAATATTTCAACAGTCCACATCGTATCGGTTACAAAACAAAACGATCACATAATAATTACAACCGTTTCCAGTTCTCAAAACAAGATACTCAAAACTAACTGACAAAAACAACTATCCTTTCTCCAACACCACCATCACATTCTTATCTTTATTGCCGAGACGGGTTATCCTCAACCCCCAGAACAATCCCTGAACTATGACGCCAATGACAAGAGCTATAGATGTGACCCAGCTAGCCACATTTGAAACAAACACACATCTTCTCACTCGGGTTGAAGTTCGATTCTTCAATTACCCTCAAAGTCTGGCCTACTCGGTTCTGGTATTGGTATCACCCCTGCCTTGATGGATAAGGTTGAACCCAACTAGATTGCAGATTATCCAAAGAAGTTTTCTGTTGCGTTCAAAAACACCTGGTATGACCCAGTGTAGCTAGTTTTTCGTGCTCCTCAAAGGGGTTTAGTTTCCTTGGATACAATAGCTCTACAGTTCGGACTCTCATGGTTCTGAATCTAGTTTCACAAATGCAATGTGAAACACAATACACAAATGAGAGTCCAAATTCGATAATTTTTAGAAAATCCATTTATCATCAAAGATGCCAAAAATGGACTACATTACTAGATTTCAGAGTCGCCATCTAAATATTTTTGAAAAAATTTAGGAAACCCGTAACTCTTGCCAAAGGCCACTTGTCCGTTATACCAAAATGTCTTGACTTGGGACCTTAGGCATGAGAGGGAAAGGTCATGAATTGAGCACCCCTCTCACCCGATCAAAGATCGGCCTCTATTAATCATGATATGATTCTTATCAACATTATATGCTCTTGTTCTGATTATTTAATGCTAACTTACTATGTGAGGCACACAAGTATAGACTATTTCGCTTGCTTTGAAAATGACTTGATTTATGCGATTTTTTTTTGGAAAGGGTTTTTGAGTGTACACAACTCAAAAGGAAAATAATGAGCTTGTACATACATTTGATCAAAATCATCTCCAATGCAAGTAAAATAACCTTCATCTACCGACATTCAAAGAGTTATTCCAAATAAGCACTTAGCTTCATGATAGTATGCTTGATATGGCAATACGAACACACATGTATTATGCTAAAACAAGAAATGCTCACCTAGTACTCAATCGAGGCAAGCCAAAAGAAAGAAAATAATTAGAAAAATGTATGCTCTAATATACAAATGACTAATGCAACACATACAAAATGAAACTACTAGGTTCGGTTTAATATGTTATATGGATCAACTCAACGTATGTGGTAATGCATGTATTCAAGTAAGTAAGACGTGACAACAATGTTAGAATGATAAACCAAACCCAATGCATGCAAAAATAGATACAACACATGGTAATGATATGAAAAAAATATGATGCTACGACGATAAGCATATAAATAAAAGGGAAAAAAAATAGGAGTTGGAAGACATACACATATTACAAGTGTTACAAATCTATCGTCACACAAGAGGGTCTGAATGAATGTCCTAATTAACTAATTATTACAATACCAAATGAATTAACTAAATTAACTAGTTATTACAAATTCGAATGAAGCCAACTAATTAATTACAACATACTAATATTAAAGCGCTAATTTAATTGAACGGGAAGTGAGGAGCCGTACGTACACAACCGAGAACATCCTCTTAGAAATCTCTCTGTTTGCAGCCAGAATTTGCTCTGTTTGCAGTCAGAAATTTATTTTGTTTTGGCCTCAGGTTCTGCTCTATTCTGCCACAAAAATGCCACTGCCTGTACAAAATAGGTGGCCGGCCGACCTTAAAAAGTGGTCGGCCGTACAGAATGGTGGTCGGTTGGCCACTATTTTCTGGGGATTACCCTGCTGCAACAAAGCTAAAACAAAGTAAAAACAGAGTGTTTTCAGGATATGTTTATCATCTATGCCCTTCCCTATCATGAAGATGATCAAAGAAAGGGTAGGTTTGGTTTACAAATCATCAATTGTCACAAGTTTGTTGCATGATGATCGTAGAACCGATAAGACAAAAGCTCACTAAAAGGAAATAAAAGACCAACGACATATCCTCCCTATTATGGAGTTACCTCAAGGAAAGGGGTAGACATTGCTTCATGAATCATTGAACATCACTAAAAAGTATGCAATGGTCCACGACGCAATGGGTTCAATATGACGTCTGATTGAACCCAACTCAATTTTATTACCTTTTTACTCCAATTTTATTAGCTTATTTTTACATTACCTTTCCATTTCTTATCTTTTTTTTTTCTTTTTTGTCCAAGAGTGATAATTACGTCCACTAAGTCCAAAAGTGATAAAGAGAATTATCAAACAAGAGATTGTGCTTAGCATAAGAGAGATGTAATGCCTTGGTAATGAACCTTCGAAGAGATTAAACTATTAAGCATAGGAGGTCTCTTTCTTATACCTTGAACATCAATCTTTTGTTTGATTCAACTCTTTATCAAAATAAACAAAGAATGGATGGAGGTTGCAGAGATGATTATAATGATAAAAACATGTATGAAAGCTATAAAAAAATACAAGAAAAGACTGTAAACTCAAATGGATTGAAAGTTATATCCATGAGGACTTACAACAACACATTTATGGTATTTAAAGCATAATTTAACACACAAAACAACACTTAAACAACACAAAAACAGTGCTGAAAATTGAGTTTTTGAGGTGGAAAAAGTGAGCAAGAATGGGCTAAAGCCAAGGGGTTTCAAATAATCAACAAGCCTAAGGAAGGGTGGCTAACCCCTTCTCTTTTTTGTGACTTAAAATCACATTTTTGAACTTAAAAAAACTCTGAAAAATAGTATGACCAAACAAAGAAAAGATATAGAAAAGATGGTATAAAAGCTCAAAGTTTACCTTTTTCAAAGAGAGAATGCTCTTTAGTTCACAAACCACAAGTTGAACACTCTCAAGAGCTGAAATGTGCGTTCAAGAATCTCAGCAAAAGGCCTCAAGTTTAGGCTTAGGAAGTGTATGTATAGTGTATGTATATTCCAAGAGAGAGAGAGAGAGGTAGTGTGTTGAGAAAGCTATAAGCACTTGGAGAATTTTTCTAACCCCAACCCATGAGGGGAGGTCATGTATTTATAGAAAAATAGGTCCTCATATCAAAAATCTCTTTAATGAGACAGCTGGTGCAAGACATACATATAGGGATAGCTGGCAGTCAAAAATATCTATTTGTCGGGAAACATGGCCAGCCGACCATGAAAAGGGACGGCCGGCCAAACAAGAATGGTTTGCCGGCCACTTGTTGGCTAGTAGGTCACTGAGTGGCTAGGCTAGAAAAAATTAGGTTTTGATCCAAAAAGGGTGCAAGGTTTAGGTTTTGAAGCTCAAAAATCAAAGCCTTTTGCTGAAGAAATCGAACAATTGTACAACATAACATTTTATTATCGAGTG